ACAAATTCCTTCTGCAGTAACTCCAATATTAAAGGAATTTGCAGATGTTTTCCCGGAAGAACTCCCAAACGCTCTACCCCCGATGCGTGACCTCCAACACGCTATAGATTTTGTTCCAGGATCTAATCTTCCTAACTTGCCTCATTACAGAATGAATCCAATCGAACATGCTGAACTCAAGAGGCAAGTTGAAGAACTGTTGACTAAGGGGTTCATTAAAGAGAGTTTGAGCCCGTGCGCTGTGCCGGCATTACTAACCCCTAAGAAAGATGGTTCATGGAGAATGTGTGTTGATAGTCGAGCAATCAATAAGATCACCGTGAAATATCGGTTTCCTATTCCCAGACTAGATGATATGTTAGATATGATGTCTGGAGCCACCATATTTTCCAAAATTGATTTAAAGAGTGGCTACCATCAAATTAAGATTCGTCCAGGGGATGAGTGGAAGACAGCTTTTAAGACGAAAGATGGTCTATACGAGTGGATGGTCATGCCTTTTGGGTTGACAAATGCTCCCAGCACCTTCATGCGAGTTATGACTCAGGTACTACGACCTTTTATGGGTAAATTTTTGGTCGTTTACTTTGATGATATCTTAATTTATAGTAAATCGTTGGAGCATCATATTGACCATCTTAGTCAAGTATGTCTCACTTTGAGGAAAGAGAAGTTATTTGCGAATCCCAAGAAATGTGTTTTCATGACTGACCAAGTTATATTTTTAGGATTTGTTGTGTCTTCTCAAGGAGTTTCTGCTGACCCTCAAAAGGTTCAAGCAATTGTAGAGTGGCCCGAGCCCCGGAGTATCCGAGATGTAAGAAGTTTTCATGGGCTCGTAACTTTCGCAATTGTAGAGTGGCCCGAGCCCCGGAGTATCCGAGATGTAAGAAGTTTTCATGGGCTCGTAACTTTCTACAGACGATTTATCAAGGAGTTTAGTGCTATCATGGCCCCAATTACGGATTGCCTTTTATCAAGGAGTTTAGTGCTATCATGGCCCCAATTACGGATTGCCTAAAAAAAGAGGAATTTCATTGGTCCGAAGAAGCTGTCACGGCTTTTAAAGAAATTAAGCAGCGAATGACCGATGCACCTGTTATGAGACTTCCTGATTTCTCTAAGGTATTTGAGGTCGCGTGTGACGCCTCGGGCATTGGTATAGGTGGAGTATTGAGCCAGGAGAAGCACCCTATTGCCTACTTTAGTGAAAAACTTAGTGGTGCTAAGTTGAACTACTCTACCTACGATAAGGAGTTCTATGCGGTTGTACAATCATTGCGCCATTGGCGACATTATCTTTTACTACAAGAATTTGTTATTTATTCGGACCATGAAGCCCTTCGGTATCTTAACTCTCAGAAGAAACTCAATGTCAGGCGTGCTCGATGGGTTGAATTTCTACAAGACTACACTTATACCCTCAAACATATGGCTGGAGTTGAGAACAAGGTGGCTGATGCACTCAGTCGTCGAGCTTGTCTTCTAAACCGCATGAGTGCAGAGGTATTGGGTTTCGAAAGAATCAAAGGGGAGTATGAATCATGCCCCGATTTTGGAGAGATTTTTGTTTCTTTCAAAGGAGTGACTTCCGAGATAGATGGCTTTTTGTTCCAAGATGGCTATTTATTTCGATTTCGCAAGTTATGCATTCCGCGTACTTCTTTAAGAGATTATCTTGTTTGGGAATTGCATGCAGGAGGCCTTGCTGGTCATTTTGGTCGTGAAAAGACTATAGAGGCGGTGGAAACTTTGTTTTACTGGCCAAGCCTTAAAAGAGATGTTGCAAAGTTAATAGGACAATGTCGCACTTGCCAATTAGCGAAGCAACGTAAACAACATACTGGCCTGTACACACCCCTCCCTGTTCCAGATCGTCCTTGGCAGGATGTAAGTATGGATTTCGTGTTGGGACTTCCTAAAACTATCAGAAAACATGACTCCATTTTTGTAGTTGTGGATCGCTTTTTCAAAGATGGCTCACTTCTTGCCATGCAACAAAACGTCTGATGCGTCCAAAATTGCTCGGATTTACTTTGATGGTGTGGTCAAATTGCATGGTTTTCCCAAAACCATTGTATCTGACAGGGATGTAAAGTTTATGAGTTATTTTTGGAAAACTCTATGGCAAAAGATGGGAACTAAACTTCAGTATTCGTCTGCTTTTCATCCCCAAACTGATGGTCAAACTGAGGTAGTTAATAGGAATCTAGGCAATCTTTTGCGCTGTTTGGTTGGTGAGAATTTAAGAAATTGGGATCTTCTGTTATCCACTGCAGAGTTTGCATACAATAGCTCAGTCAATAGGTCTGTAGGTATGAGTCCATTTGAAGTTGTGCATGGTTACAAGCCTAGGAAGCCTATAGACCTTATTCCCATGTCGCATCATCCTAGGGTGTCCGAGTCAGCAGTTGCATTTGCATCACACATTCATGATTTGCATCAAGAAATCAACAAGAAAATTCAAGAAAGCAATGAACAATATAAGTCCCATGCTGATTTACATAGAAGACATCTTGAGTTTAACGAAGGTGATTATGTAATGATCCGAATTCGTCCGGAACGGTTTCCTCCGGGAGCCGTCAAGAAATTACATGCTCGTAGTGCTGGACCTTTTAAGATTATCAAGAAAATTAACTCAAATGCTTATGTAATCGATTTACCTCCAGATTTTGGAATTAGTTCGACATTTAATATTGCAGATTTGGTAGCTTATAAAGGTCCTCCTTTTAACCCTGAAAATCCACTTGTGGATCTTGATGAGCCTACCCCTGATCCTTTCCCTGAGAGACCCCCATTGCCACCACTGCCTACTACTTTTGTCCCATTTACAGCTGAACAGATTGATAGCATTCGAGATGATCAAATCATCTCAACCCGAGATGGTGGTTGCAGACGATATCTAGTACGTTGGAAAGATCGTCCTGAATCTGATGATACATGGATTACTCGTGAGGACCTGCAGCGCCTGGCTCCGGATCTATTGGAGACTCTGTGTATTGTAAACCTACTGATGAGGACATCGCACGGCCTCCACTTCGCACATACTTTCGCCGCCGTCGTCGTCTTGCTTCAGCTTATATTTGGTTTTGATTTTGAGAAGTCTTGGAGTCTAGCTAATGTTACGTTTATTCTCTTTATTGTATTTGCTCTTTTTTTTTAGTCCCACATCGGATATGGGAGTAAACTTGTAGTTGTTGAAGGCCTATTTAAAGAGGTCAATTCTATGGAATAAGGCGATGAATATTTGAAGAAAATTTTGTTTCATTTGTGAAACTTTGGGTTATTGATTTGATCTTTAAGATTGAGTCAATGGTGGTGAAGCCAAGGCCCGAGTTGCGATTCGTGGTCATATCTTGTTAATTTTCCAAACCCTAGCTTTCCCAAATCTTTGTTCTTCCCCAAATTTCCCAAATCCCTTACATAAACCCTAAAATTCCCATTATATATATATATATAAACTTAAGTGGATAGGAGCACTTGTCCACCAAACTTTTTATCCCTTCATTATGTTTTGAGATTTGTGCTACGCATCAATGCTATTTTTGAGATTTGTGTCTTCATTTGTATTATATACTACTATACTAGCACAAATCTTAATGTAAAATCAATGGATAAAAAAGTTGGTGGACAAATAGCTCCTATCCATTTAAGTCTATAGAAGCTTTACTCTATACGTATATATGTATATATGTATGAATATATGTGTATATATATGTATATATATGTATATATGTATGTATATGTGTGTGTATGCACCACAAAATTACAACAGAAAATTTATACTATTATCATTACTCTTAATAAGAACAAGGGTTAAAGATTACCAAATGACAAGGAAACAATTGAATATATTATGAGCAATCTAAATGCATCTCTCTGTTGATTTTCTCACCACCATTCAGCAAAAAAGAAAAAAAAATTAACTGTATCCAGAAAGCCACAGACCTTTGATGTTCTACCAAGCCTGTTGGTAACAGTAGATAAAAATACCCATAACCTCTGTGGTGGAACATCCGCACCAATCTTTAGAATCACCTGATATTTCATTTATGGCATATCAGATGCCTACCTGTTTCCAATATGAATGTGTTGCAGTTCAGAATTGTATCTGCTTTATAGAGGCATAAATTAGTTTAAAGCCAATGAGTACAGGGTTTAAGAAGGTCCAGGTTGAAACTAGATGGCTATAGGCATCAAGTAGGAACTTTGAGCAAGTCAAATACTATACATACTTGAAACAGAAGGTTTAAAACACTAAATGTTTTGACTGCCCTACTTTTTCAGTGCAAGGAACCTTGTCTAGCAAGTCAAATACTATACATACTTGGAAATAGAAGGTTTAGAACACTAAATGTTCTGTCTGCCCTTCTTTTTTTGGTGCAAGGAACCTTAGCTAACTACCAACCAAGTAAACATTGGGGTCTGTGGGCCACCTTCCGAGACCTGGCCCTTCCGAGATCCAGGTGAATAGCACAAATGTTGCAATTGCCTAATAATTAGAAGACAATAGGCATGCAATAGACAATGATCAACCTTTGGCCTTTTAAGACAAAGCCCCAACCACTAGTCAGAAAAGGAAGAACTTCCTTGTACCAATTTGATTAAGCTATACGACAGCCTACTGCTTTACATGATTACATCCCTGCTCACCAGATCATTTAGACATTGGTAGTTGTAACTCTAAGAAACTTCAGCAGTCTCATAAGCCTTATTAGATGTTGCCAAGAAGAACCCAATTCTTAATGGCAAAAGGAAGAACAGTTCATGAGGCCAAATTACAATTATCATAGATACAACAGCTGTAAGACTTGATTAAATATGACCCTCAAAAGGAAAAACAATCTGTCACCAAAATATTCACTAACATTGCACAGAAGTATATCCTCTAGATTCAACCATCAATTAGTCCATGTTTTCCTGATTAAGAGGATAGGTTGCAGAAAGAATGCAGAATAGTATTTCTATCATTTTTAATGCACCTATGCCAAGATGACAAATAGATATAAGACACTTAGAAAGAGAATAACAATAAGAAATATACATGTTCAGACAAACAAATCTTTTTTTCCCCTGCAAAACCACATCTTACTCTGAAGCACTCGTGACAGTAGGACATAAAACAGGGTTTTCTATTCATATTTTATCATGCAAGCCAAAGCTGCAGCCTGAGCTCAGGGGATTATCTCCTTGAGAATGTGCACGAAAGCTAAAATGGTAGGTGTTAAACAAACAAGAAGTAAACTTCAGAACTGAACTCTCATGCACTGCAAAATAGTCAGCAGCACTGGTCCAGAATAATGAAATGCTCCCCAAAACTATTATTTCATTCAAAGTTGGCAGCAACTCTGATTCCATAAGCTGCAAATTGTAACATTGAAGAATATAAATTTAGTAGACATGCAAACTTTAACTATTTATAGATGCACAGTTCACAACAAACCTTGAGATGTTATGAAAGAGACATATTTGTAGTCAGAAAGCTATGGAAGGGACAAGAAATGTACCTCTTCTAACCTGCTTGATCAAAGAGGCAGGTAACATGTCATGCATGTTTGAAGCACACATTCGAAGAAAAAAGATTTAAACGTCCTTTCCACCCTATCTGCAGCTATTCCCAGTGACCATAAGATGAACCATGATCAAATATCTCACGAGCCATATTATGCACAATTAAAACTCCATCAACAAAGAATTTCAATGTTTTGATCATGGATCGTGTCATCCTGAAGAACCAAATTTCCTCCGCTTCTGTCGTCCAGAAAATGCACATGTGCTTGATGAATAACGTGAATTTGCAAGCTCCCTTGGGATAGCAGCTCCCACAGACTTGAGATTCTGAACGAGCTCCTTAAAAAGCTTCTTATCCTCCTCATTCACAAAAACAATTGCCATGCCCTCTACTCCCATTCTAGATGCCCGACCAACCTGATGGACATACTCTTCCATGGAATTTGGCATGTCAAAAATTATCACCTGTCGCACTTTTAGAAGATCCACCCCACGGCCTAAAACCCCAGTGGAGACAATAACAGGGACCTCCCCCAACAAAAATAACCTCAAACTCTCCCTTCTCTCCTTCATCCCTTTCTCCCCGTGAATAGAAAGAGCTTTCAATCGAGTGGTAACTGTTATTGCTTCAGACAAAAGATCAGCTCCTAATCTTGAAGCCACAAACACCACTGCAGGTGGCTTGAAATGTTGCTTGCTCAACAATATCTCGAAAAGTTTCTGCTTTTTATGTTTAGACTCCACCCATATGGCTACTTGCTTAACAGAACTACTGGGTATGCTTCGATTCCCAGCCCATACATACATCAAGTCTTTAGCCATTGAGCTTGCCATCTTCTCCACCTCCTTAGAAATAGTTGCTGAAAACATTAGAAGTTGAGGATGTGAGAGTGCTTGAAAGATCTGCATGACCTGGTCACGAAAGCCTCGTTGCAGCATGCAGTCCACCTCGTCCAGAACAAAGATAGAAACATCATCAAGCTCAATCTCATGCTTATATAGGAGATCAATGAGCCTTCCAGGTGTTCCAACAATCAACTCCACACCCTTCTGAATCCTGTAGACTTGAGAAGCAATCGCATCTCCACCAACCACAAGGGCAGTTTTAAAAGGTAGACCCTTCCCAATAACTTTGGCTGCCTCCTCTACCTGTGCACACAACTCTCTGGTGGGTGTAAGAACAATCACTAAAGGCTTCTTTGGGTCTACATGGTTCTGTTGGCGGAAATATACACAGTGAGAAACTACAGGAATTAGAAATGCAGCAGTTTTACCAGAACCGGTGTCTGCAGAAACTAGCAAATTCTTGCTACCCAATGCAGCAGGTATGGTCTGCATCTGAACCGGAGTAGGTATTTCATAACCAGCAGCTTCTAGATTTTTCTCGAGCTTCTCGGGTAAATTACAAGAAGAAAAAGACAGGATGGGAGCAGGAACTGAATCACCCTTAACAGAGATACCAATTTTATTTCTCAAGGTTTCAATCTGATTGAATGTTAAACTTTGTGATCCAAAGCTATTGTCATCTCTAACATAAAAACACTCATCCTTGGTGGGTACTCGAACTACAGATTGAGAGAGGTTCGCTTTTGGCTTATGACGATTGGCAATCCTAGCAAGAATAGCTATTTTGCATTCAACACTGCAGACATCATCATCAGTCTCATCACAGATATATTCTCCATAACGTCCGCAGTTAACACATCTAGGCTCCCCTGGAAAGGCTTCTCTCTGATCCAAACATCTCTCCTTCACAGGGCACTCTGTGAAACACATTACAACAACTTACTTGATGGGCTAAACTTCTACTGCATGTATAACGAAACAAAATTCCATTGAATTTTAAGAGGGATTAGATAAACTGAGATGAAGCCTTTAGATAAGAATGTACTTTGCAGGAGCATGTACACAAGTCATAACTATCTGTCAGTAATCACCAATCAGTATATATCTTAACCATTTCTGTCGTCAAAGATAGAATGGATGGATCTAAAAGACAAAGAATCCTTCTACTAAAGTAGGTCAACTGAAAATTGAATATTAATAAGGGTGATTTCACAAAATTACAGTGTCAAGAGTTCAGTAAAAACTTGTTATAAATTATTTTTATTAGAGAAATATACAACAAGTTTCAAATCAGCAAAAAGATATCACATAATCAGAAAGTCCACGGTAGTTATCTATGTTGAATGGAGACACGTACGTGTAATAAAATCCATGCTAGTTATCTGTATCGCAGGAATACATATGTGTGTGTGCGCGCGTGCATGTGCGTGTGTGCATGCGGGTGCGGAAGCAGGTTTGGGTGCGGGCATATGTGTGCTATATTGAAATTAATAATTTACAGGAGATCAATGTTTCACATTTTATGAGGATTTGAATTCCCATACATATTATTGTGTAGATCATATATAGGAAAATCACTCATTTTGAACTAGATATGCAAATGATACTTTAAAGTCAAAGTTCGGAATTGAGTATGAGCTAAAATGAAGGGAATGATTTTCCAACAATTGTCAGGAAATGGATGTAAAGTGTAGGATATACATTCAAGAAGTCTCCGACAAGAGTTTTAACTTAAAACGTGTATTATGTAATTTGAGTATATGTCTTATAAATGTATGTATATATTCTTGGAATGTTCAAACTAGGTGACAGTGTTTGGTCAGGGTACGGCTGCATGATAGAAGTACTCACACAACATGGGTAGTTAGCAGCCAATATTGCATACCTCATCGTAGTTTAGTGCCTTTATCTGAAAAAACACGGTAGTTTCGTAAAACAAAAATAAAAATGTTTGTAAAATAAAATGCAAATAATTGTTCGTACATTTGTATGAAACCCCTGGCAGTTTATGGCAGTTCTGTAAAACTTACCAAGAAAATAATAAGTTGGCTGCTCACAAGGCTATTGTGAATTAGGAATGAACAATGATATACAACTGTTGACCTAGCGCAAGTTTCATAATCCACGCTGTCCTTATTCAAGCAATTTTATTCCAAGGGCAAGCATATAGGTATGGAAATAAAATCTATTGCCTGCAACATGCCACTGTGATTGATCTCAAGAATTAAAGAACATTTTCTGTTTGACACAAAGAAGTCTTCTAATTAAAAAATCAGGGCAAGTTTCAAATAGTAAGCAGGTACCCAAAACAATGGAAACTTCAATGCGGTACCTTCCAACTGAAGCAACTGAAAGATTCGTCAAATTATTCGCTCCTTCTTCCATGATTTCTGATTATAAACAAACTCAATACGCTGCAATATGATTTATATTGGTTAAGATATTTTGTAAAAAAAAACACAAAGTTTCACAAAAATCAATATCACTTAATAATTTGACGAAAAAATTATTGGGATACCAGTGCCCTAAATTCCCACCCTAATCCTGAGATATTCTACGGTCAACTCAAGCAACAATCAGAAATTCTCAGTTAGTGTGAAGATGCAGAACCTCGTATGCAATCAACTAGGGTTAGGGCTCAGCAGGATCCCAGCGAGAGGAGGACGATGAATCGAGGGCTTTTATGCTGAGAACCCCGAGCAATTGAAGAAACCACCGCCTAATTCGATTTCCCAAAGGTAAAGTTTATCCCGTACCCCTATTTTAGATTAAAGTTTCTAAAATACCCATCGAAAATATTAACGGGCAACTAGAGGGGCTAAACTAAACGTACCTTTTAAATCTCCTTCCTATTGGGGCCCATCTAATTAAAGGTCTTGGGCTGAAACTGGGCCTCTACCTTAAGCTAGTTAAGGCCGAAACATCTCATGTCGATGGATGGACCGGATGGAATAATCCGAAGAAGGATATGCTAATATCTTACACTTATTTTAAATCTTGTGCTGATCAATGAACATAAAATATATGTTAATCAAGCATCAAAAGTACATGTGAATGAATAGAGTGGAATAGAGTGAGATATTGTCATCCTGAAAAGGCTAGGAGGAGGAATACCGAATATGCTTCGCTTCATGCTTTTTCTGGTCAACATACTTTAGCTTTTTGAAGTACACTTTTCATTTTTATGATTGCAATTTTTGTTCTCTTGCGCGTGCGCATCCGAGTTGCTTAGCATCTTTATATATTTTGCACATGACGCCATATTTGTTGTGCCCATTAGAGAGAGATTGCGCCGTTTTATAAGCGAATTTATTTAGTCTATGAGGCCGTATTGGCTTCTTTATTATCCCTCATCCCGTATTAATTTTTAAAATTTATATGCCGTAGATACTCATGTTCCATCAACATGAGCGGTTATTTGACAATCTTATCTCCAACTAAACTGACCAATAGGAATTTAGTTCTTAATATTATTAAATTGTGATTATCTTTTAACTAAACAAAACGTGGTTTAAAAACTATTTACCACTAAAAATGTGATTTTGAAAAAACGTGTCTACAAGAGTAACTTTAAAAAGTGATTAAAGTTAAAAGGTGGATAAGTGGGCCACAAAATCTAACATTCTCCCACTTGGCCCATGTATCATAATTTGACTTTATGGTTTAATAATACAACATCATATGCATAGTATAAGCTAATTCTATTATTATATTGATCAAATCATCAATCATCATTAAGTAGAAAACTAATAAGGATCATGGCGGTCATACGCAGTTAAATCGACATAGTCCCTTTCATGTATCACAATATTAGTTTTAAACTTAATATGACCTGTAATGAGATTTATCATAATGGTCCAACGATAATGTCCTTGTCAGAGACATACCCTGTTAATATTCACAAAGTCATTCATGTATATACTAACAATAATAAACAGGATGCACTAATATATCAGAAACAATATTTAGATGAGCTCAAAGTGTCAAATATATAAAGAGCATGAATTTTACATAAAAGTTAGTAATGATTTTCAATAATGCTCATTCTTTCAACATGTTCAGTAAATGTCTTTGGTGTGTCAATCCTTTTGTTAACGGATCTGCAACCATGAGATTTGTGCTAATATGCTCAATTGACACTCTTTGTTTCTTAACTTCTTCTTTAATGGCAAAGTATTTTTAATTCCATAAGTTTAGCACCCTTCGAATACTTGTCGTTTTTAGAAAAGAAGACTGTTGTAGCATGATCACAATAAATTTTCAGCGGCTTGGCAATACTGTCAACAACTCCAAGTCCTGAAATGAAATTCCGCAGCCATAATCCATGAATAGTGACCTCAAAGCATGCCACGAACCATAGTCGATGCAGCAATGACAGACTGCTTCGCACTTTTCCACGAGATCGTTCCTCCAGCTAGAAGAAACAGATAGCCAAATGTGGATTTTCTTGTATCCAAACATCCAGCAAAATCTGAATCTGAATATCCAACCACCTCAAGGTGATCAGATCTCCTATAAGTAAACATATGATCCTTTGTTCCTTGCAAGTATCTCAATACTTTCTTTGCAGCTTTCCAATGATCCAATTCTGGATTACTTTGATATCTACACAGCATTCCAACAGCAAAACTAATATCTGGCCTTGTACAGACCTGAGCATGCATCAAGCTCCCAACGATAGATGAATAAGGAATTTGTTCCATTTGTTTGTGTTCCAATTCATTCTTTGGACATTGCATAAGACTGAATTTATCCCCTTTCTAAATTGGAACAAATTCCTTATTCATCTATCGTATGTTGACCAGAAAAAGCTAAAAGAAACAGATAGCCAAATATGGATTTTCTTGTATCCAAACATCCAGGAAAATATCTCACTCTAAAAGCTAAAGTATGTTGACCAGAAAAAGCATGAAGCGAAGCATATTCGGTATTCCTCCTCCTAGCCTTTTCAGGATGACAATATCTCACTCTATTCCACGCTATTCATTCACATGTACTTTTGATGCTTGATTAACATATATTTTATGTTCATTGATTCAGCAATGACAGACTGCTTCACATTTTTTCACAAGATCGCTCCTCTAGCTAGAAGAAACAGATAGCCAAATATGGATTTTCTTGTATCCAAACATCCAGGAAAATCTGAATCTGAATATCCAATCACCTCAAGGTGATCAGATCTCCTATAAGTGAACATATGATCCTTTGTTCCTTGCAAGTATCTCAATACTTTCTTTGCAGCTTTTCGATGATCCAATTCTGGATTACTTTGATATCTACACAGCATTCCAACAGCAAAACTAATATCTGGCCTTGTACAGACCTGAGCATGCATCAAGCTCCCAACGATAGGTGCATAAGGTATTTGTTCCATTTGTTTGTGTTCCAATTCATTCTTTGGACATTGCATAAGGCTGAATTTATCCCCTTTCTAAATTGGAACAACAGATACAAAGCATTTATGCATCTTGAACCTCTCTAGAACTTTCTGAGACAACCCTAACAATCCTTGTGATCTGTCACCGAATATTTCAATTCTAATCACATAGGATGCCTCACCCATATCTTTCATTTCAAAGTTCTTAGAGAGAAATTTCTTGGTCTCGTGTAACAAGTCAAGATCATTAGCAGCAAGCAATATATCATATAAACTTTCTCCCACTGATCTTTAGATATATACATCGATCAACGATGTTTTCTTTAAATCCAAAAGATGTGATAGTATCATTAAACTAAAGATACCATTGCCGAGAAGCTTGTTTGAGTCCGTATATTGATCTCTTAAGTTTACACACCATGTGTTCCTTTTCTTCAACTGAAAAACCCTCAGGTTGGTCCATGTAAACTTCTTCATCTAAATTTCCATTTAGAAAAGCAGTTTTCACATCCATTTGATGTAGCTCTAAGTTATAATGAGCCACCATAGCCATAATAATTCTAAATGAATCCTTTTTCAAAACAGGAACGAATGTTTCTTTATAGTCAACACCATCCTTCTGAGTAAAACATTTGGCAACGAGTCTAGCCTTGTATCGTTCAATATTACCATTTGAGTCGTGTTTGGTCTTAAAGACTCATTTACATCCAACTCTTTTACAACCTTTAGGCAATTCTATAAGATCCCAAACTTCATTATGCTCCATTGATTTTAACTCATCTTTCATGGCATCAAACCATTTATCAGGATTATGATTTTTTCATGGCCTGTGAAAATGAAATCGGATCTTCATCAATTCTAAGGTCTTGTTCTGACTCTTGTAGATAAACCACATAATCATCAAAAATAGCAGATTTTTTCTATCTTTGAGACCTTCTTAATGCTACTTTTTCATAGGGTATATCTATTGTAGGTTCATTGGTAACAACGTCTTCATGGAGTGTTTGATCATTTATTTGTTGTTCTTGAAAGTCGTTAAACTGTTCAACAGCTGTAGGAACAATAACTTGAGAAGAAGTTAAAGGTAAAGGAACGTTCATTCTAACTTCTTGGATTTCTACTTTACGTGGTTCTATACTCCCACCAATGTCACCATTTTCAATGAACTTGACGTTTCCAGTTTCAACAATTCTCGTACTATGTCTAGAACAATAAAATCTATACCCTTTAGATTTTTCTGGATAACCAATGAAAAACCATTGGTTGTTCTTGAGTTCGGTTTCTTTTCATGTGGATTATAATTTTGTTTTTCCGCAGGAAAACCCTAAATATGAAGATGTCTCAAACTGGGTTTCTTTCATGTCTACAGTTCAAAAGGAGTCTTTGGAACTGCCTTACTTGGAACCCTGTTTAACAAATACATTGCAGTTTTTAAGGTATACATCCACAATGACAATGGTAAAGAAGAATAACTCAACATACTCGTAACCATGTCCATTTTACGATTACATCTTTCTGTAACACCATTTTGTTGCAGTGTACTTGGCATCGTGTACTGAGCACATATGTCACGTTTTTCAAGAAATTTAACAAATGGACCAGGGCATTATTCTGTTTTGTTATATTTTTCATAAAATTCACCACCCCTGTCAGATCTATTGATTTTCACCTTTTTGTCTAATTGTCTCTCAACCTCATTAATAAACACCTCTAGGGCATCTACCAATTGAGATTTTTCATGCAACAAATAGACATATTCATAACGTGAAAAATCATCAATAAAGGTGATAAAATATTTTTCTTTATTAAAGGATGAAACATCAAAAGGTCCACATATATCAGTGTGTATAATTTCAAGGAGCTGTGTGCTTCTTGTGGCGGCTTTCTTGATTGTATGATTTGTATGTTTTCCTTTAATACAATCCACATAAATATCAAGATCGGTAAAATCCAAATTAGGAAGTATTTTATTCTTTACCAATCCTTGTATTCTTTCTTTAGAAATATG